GAGAGACGGCGAGGAAAGCCCTAAACCCCAAAGCCCAGCGGGCAAAAATACCTGTTCCCGGCAGGGCTCGGGGAGGGAGACGAGACTTAGCGGGGCTGGATGCTGGCGGCTTTGCTGAAATGTTCGGGCACCGAGGGTAAATCCTATCCAAAAAAAAAAAAAAAAAAAAGACACAGAGATGGACACTACTCTTTTGGATGCCAGCTTGATTTTTTTTGTTGTTGTTTACCTTTTTAGCCCATGCTAAATGTGGATTTTGTGAGCGAGCTCAGATGGCAGGTGCTCCATTGTCCCTTGCTTGAACGTAAACCTTAGTTTTGCTGCTTGTGGATTTTTGTTTCTTTAAAGGACCTTTCTGGGTAGCTTTTGCCTCTCACAAAATGAAGCCTTTGTGTTTTTTGGTCAGTTATAGCCAATATTGACCTTCTGTTTGGTAGAAGGGACTAAAGTGCTGCCTCACTCAGAGGACCGTTAGAGACTTTATCTTTTGCTACATGTAGCTGACTGTTCAACATATCCTTTTCCCCCTCCCCCTCGAAATCCCCCTAAAGATTTTTCCACAATGAAGAAATTCAATTTTCGCAAAGTTCTGGATGGTTTAACTGCCTCATCCCCCGGTGGAAGTGGTGGCGGTGGCGGTGGTAGTGGGGCTGGTGGTGGCTCCATGCACCCGGGAACAACTGCAGGAGCTGCGGGGACTCCCCGAGATGAGATCCAGGAGACCTTAACTTCAGATTATTTTCAAATTTGCAAGGTAAGGACTATCATATCTTTTTTCTTTTTGATAGGGAAATAACAAAACCTGCATTTGGAGGGGTGGTAATATGATACCAATACATCTTTTACTTAAGAACTGCAGTGGTTGTATAAGGACTTTGGCATGAAAGGATGGAAATCTCGTTGATGTTTTTTCTTTCTGCTGCAGAATTGGGAAAGTCACTAAATTCATAAAGATCTTATTTCAGCATTGAGGGTCCAATCCAGAGTTCATTCACAGCCCGAAAACTAGAAACAAGATCATAGGCAGAAAAGCAAATCATTGGGTGCTAGGATAAATAACATTTACAAGCCATTACAAATTTTCAAATGTATACATCTGCTCTCCCTCCTTTCTGCTCCTATCCTTTCTTCCTTTTCTTACCACTGTTTTAAGGCAAAAGCATAAACTAGAGCTAAGAGAGTTTTTGCAGGACATATTTTTCATTTATTATTTGTGAGGGATTGGGTGTAGCTTCAGTTATTTTATTTTTAGTATTTGCCTTGAAAGTTATCACTAGATAAAAATAAATTTAGGAGGAGAGCATAAATATCAAGAGTTTCCAAATTGTTTGGAACTGGTTTTGTGTATTGGTCAGGTCCTTCAAGTAGAAGGCATAAGATAACCTATGTTCACTACATTTTATGCCTGTTTTCTGCAATGAAGCTTACACTGATGTCCTTAAATACAAGAGTGAAATCAGTACAAACTACTTGGCACTTCTGACCAACCCTAGAAGAGTAAACTACACTTCTGTAATGAACAACACAACAGAAAAGCGAGATTATATTATGATCTTCTGATCCTCTGCTGTTATCTTTAACTTTGACATTAATTCTGTAGGCTTTGCTATAATATTGCCAGTGTAAGGACACCCCTTGATTTGAGATTTCAGCTATGGTCAACTTCAGCACAGTGTAACTTCTTTATGTGTTGTGGGGGGATGGAAGAACGATAAACAAGCAAGACAACCCTATGAAACCCTATGTAGGTCTGGTTGCCAGTGAAAAGTACAGCTTTCAGAAGCTCAGATACCAGGGCTCACATTCTATCCTGCTCTCAGATTCAGCTCATGTCAAAACTCATATCAGCTTCGAGGCTGGAAGGATGAGCCACCATGACTTAAAGAGCTTTGGAACAGGGTCTGTAAAGATTCTAACTGGAGGGAGTTTTACAGTCTTTTGCCATCCATGAAAGCAGGTTCAGGCTTTTTGAGTTAAAATCACCTCTCTGTGTACATTGTATCTTACCAAATGCCAGATACTTCTTGATTTTCAGTAGAAAGATAATGCAAATAATCAAGATGCACTGAAATATCCCTTGAGGATCTGATACTCTGAGAATTCTGTGTAAGACTAAAACTGACCACAGTTCCCTATGTTTAAATCATTTAATAATGGCTGCGATCTGTATTTTATATAGTATATTTTTGTTTTGTGTGTGTATTTGAAAAACTAGGCAAAAGAAGATGAATTGTAAAGAAAAAAAAATCTTAGCTCTGTATTTCCCTTCTTTGGCTTGATATTACCTAAAGGCAGTTTTGTGTTATGTTCTGATAGATCTGCATGGGAATATGAGTGTGCTGGGAATACATCATCTTGAGAAGATTTCAGTAAGCAATAATTGCCTCCCTTTTTAAATTAGAGGACTTAACTCTCAGGTTAAAATGTTCTCAACAAAGTAAATATTTGTGTGGAAGGGCTTTGTGTTGCAGCAGCACTTGCTTATGAATGCCTGGTACTGCAGAAGTCAACTGTGTAGTGTACAAAACATCGGCTTCCTTTTTGCAAAGTACAAAAGTATGCTAAAGGCAAACTTCCCCAAACACTTGGTGATTATGTGCACAAAATACTGCAATGCTTACTCAACAAGCTCGCCTATTCAGTTGTGTTGCAGTTTAGTACCGCTACAAACTTGTTAAATGAGCAAAAACCCCTGGGCCCCAGTCCTGCATTATGCAGTGTGCAAGTGGACCCCAGCAGCGGGGCTCTACGCAGGCGCAGCTCTCGTGCTGCATGCTACGGGCTGAAGCACCTGAGCCATAATCTGTACCTCAGCCAATCTGTGTTCAATTAGAAGTAAAGCAAGACACAACTAATCAAAGCTTTGCCTTTCTCACGCTTTTGTTGTGTAGAACTGACATTTCCACTGACGATTTTCATGTCAAGTTACATAAGTTATGTAGGCTGTGTGTTTAAGGACCCATGCTCTGTGGTCCTGCTGCACACAGAACTGATTAAAGCCAATAGCAGATTTAGGTTGTTATGATCTGCATGATCAAGGCAGATGGATCCATGGTCTAAGTAATATCCTAAAACAGTTTCCCTTTCGTTGCTGATTGTTAAATCTTCATTTAGATGTGAAACATAAAAGCTGACTCATACTTAAGAATTAAAGGGCCTTACCCTGCAATCGTTACTTAAATAAATTGCCCTTTTGGAGTTTGTGGGAGGTCTTCCAGACTAAAAATACAGATTTGATGCTCTGTCAGAACACTGATTTTATTAGTAACCCACCTGAAAGCTGCTTCTCCCTTTTGTGAGATTTTCAGGATTCTTATTACTACAGTGTCTTTTTGAGATGCAGATGAAACTTGATAGAAGTGAATTTCAATATTTTATTTTATGCTGAAGATGACTTTAATGATTTAAAGAATAGAAATGAAATGTTCCTGAATGTACGAAATAGCTGCAGCCTCTTCTTAAGCATGATAATTTTTATCTATGTAGCTCTACTAATGAACCAGTGGCACCCTTTTAAGATTATTAATGTAGTGATGTGAAATCGTCAGCTGTATTTTAGGACCACAGCAAGCTAAGGTATAAATATGCTATATTTAGGGCTGCCCTTGGGACTTGGATGTCCACATGCAAATCATAAAGATATTGATTATAGTTCACATTAGCTGAATTAAATGTGTGAGATAGTAATGTTATGCCAAAAATATATATGATCCAGTAGAACACTTTAGTAAAGTTTTTATTATTTTTAGTGAGGACAGGGCTAGTTTCCTAGTTAATCCTCCTTTATATTTCCTTCTCATATATTTGATGAAGATTTTTTTAGACTAGCCTGTGTTTGTCTATAGTATGTAAAAATTACCATATAGCAATGTGAAGAAATCTCATATGAATATAGGATGTGTGAAGATCACAGCTAGGATGTTGCAAATCATATGAGTAGGACTTTGAGCAGCAAGAACATAAATGGAACTAGGAATTCCATTACTTTTGCAGAAGGTCAGTTGTTAGGGGATGACGCACTTTGGAGAAGACTGAAAGAGAATGAAGATGCACATTTTTTGAATATATAGTGCATATTCTTTATGAAAGTAACTCTCCCAAAAAGAACTACATGAGCCTGTCTTGAAGAAGGATCATGGGGTTGAATGAGCATGATGTTAACAACCGTGCAAAAAAAAAAATGGAAATCAAGACCTCAGTGAAGAACATAGTAACAGTCCTACTTGAACAGGTCTGTATTAATCCAGTCCAGTATGCATTCGGTAGCTATAGGCAGCAGCCACATACCCACATTCAGGAACCACATTCAAGAGCCCCAGAGAAATCTTCTTCTAACAAATTATTCCTGAAACTGATGGTTTTGTGACTACCTTTAAACCCTGAAGCATGAGATTTGTTGTCTCTCCAAAGCTGGTCCAAGCTGTTATCACTGAGTAGCTTTGCATCATGTAATAGTCATCTCATAATGAACATCTCTTTGAATTTTGCTGTATTACACACACGGGTAGTGTAGTCATAGTTTCAGTATGCACATTACCGGGGCCTTATAGAAAAAAAGACACAGAGGCCGGAACAGGATAAGGATTTTGTTGGACTTGCTATGGAAGCCCACAGTTTGATTATCAAGATGCCTTCCTAATCCTACTTCTCTTTGACAAAAGCAGGCCCTCAAGACACATGCAGTCAGTAGCCATATTGCAAAGACAACTTTCTTTTTTTGTTGTTTTTATATGAGCATTTCTTTCCTCTGGAATCATTGGAATCAGAGGGTGTACTGTTATATTTTTTGGCCAAACTGTTTCACAGAGTAAAGTTACCTAAGAATAGTCTGATATAGGCATTTCAAAGCTTATGATGCCAATTTAGATGCAGATAAATTTTAAAGACCTCTTAGGTATTTTTATCATATAGGTGTCCCAATAGGATGGAGTAAGATTGTGATAGTGCTGTAAAGGCTGTATTTACATACCTCAGCTATCCATTTTTCCTATAAACTGGCCTTAGATTTTAACTTTCAGGGTTTATATATGGTGATACTTTATTTAGTGAAGCTATGAAGAGGAACATTCAGTCCCTCTGAAAGCAGTTGAGCAGATAATTTTAAGTGTGGATACAACATGAAGCTTCAAAGATAATAGAAGATGATTTTTGAAAGGAGAGTTTAACAACAATTGTTTAGTAGCACATTGTTCTATTTTTGGCTATAAAGAATTATTTTTGACCTTAAAAAATTATTTGGTATAATCTGTGCACAGTGTTTTATCTAGGTTTAACTGTTTGGTTAATCTGTGCTGTTTCTGTGTTGTAAGATCATTCAGGGCCAAAATAAAGAAAATCTGTATGAAGTGCTATATTTCAGAGAAGATCAATTTTAAAATTAATATTAATCTGTACTTATAACTCTCAGAGTTCATTCTGTACTCAATTACTGAATAAGATACAGTGTTGGGAAAGATTTCTCATGTGTGACAGAATTTGAATCTAATTTTTGGTGCAAAACCAAATTCTGTTTAAAAGTACAGAGAGAAATGACACTTCTGTAATTACATGAAGGTAATTTTATGGGATATGTGTTGAATTAATGTATTTTTCTTTTTTTAAAAGTTTGTTATTCTAAATAAGGCTGATCTGTTGTAAGGAGTATAGCATGGTGAAAGCTTCTTTTTAAAGAAATTTGAAGATAATAAGCTACCTATGGTGGTATAGAGGCAGACACTGTTTTGTCTCTGTTGCAAATAAAATGCCAACATTTTC